TGCCGCCAAGGGACCGTGAAGGACATTGACCAGGGGCTTGGACGTCCTCATGGCTCAATCATACATGAAATAACAGAAAGAAAGGGTAGTTTTCAATTATGTAACTTCATTTGTGAACATAGGAACTTCAATTTTGAAGCTCACAATCTCACCAAGTATACTTGCAATTTATGTACGGGATGATATGTTTGGTTGGCTAATCCTCATGATCCAACTCTTGTACCTATGAACATTATTCCGAATCAATAAAGTCGGCGAGGTTTCTTTAGGATTTTTTTCTTCTTCTATTTTTCTAGGTTTTCTTTTGTTTCTTCACCTTTTCCCGGTTTTTTATCTTTGTTTTCCAATTGTATTTGTCCATTTTTTTCTCGGTTTTCATTGTTTTTTGCTTTCTTCTATAGCTTTGTTCTTTCTCGGCTTTTTCTAGTTTTTTTCTTTTCTTTTCTTTTCTGAACCAATTTTTCTTTGGTTTGCTTTAGGTTTCTTTTGTGTTCTTCCCCGTTTTTACGTTATAGGTTGGTTTTATTTGTATTCTTCATGTTTCTTTGTTGGTTTTCTCCATTTTTCATTTATCATCAACACATGTCTATTTTTTTCAAGTGCAGAGTGTACATTATCAATGTACGCATGAAACATTTTTTGGATACACGTTGTACATTTCTCAAATACATGATGTATATTTTTGCTTGAAAAACATGTTATGAACACTTATTGCAATACGTGGTCAACAGTCTTTCAAATATAGGCTGAACATTTCTGCTATGGTAATAAGCATTTGTTAAAACCTGCACGGACAGTTTTATACATACGATTAACATTTTTTTTCAAACATACTTTTTTATGTCTACTTTTTCATTTAAATTAGTATATTTTTTGTATAAATAAGGAATATGTTTATATACATGTCTAACATTTTCTAAAACTTATATTCTTTGATGTTTACAACTTTCACATAGAATTTTTTTTGTATTCACTAGAATTGTCTTTTATATATGCCAAATATTTCCAAATACATGGTTACAATTTTTAAAAACTTGTACTTTTATGTCTTTTTTTCCATACACATTGTTTATTGTTTCGTGTAAAGTAGAAAAATACTTTGTATACATGTTTTAAAATTTTCAATTACACGATTAACATTTTTTCATGTATATTTAGTTTCTACATTTTTTCATATGCATTATACATTTTTTTATACACCAGAAATATTTTTTATACATGTTTAACCTTTTTCAATACAAGATCTACATTTTTTTCATACACATTGTATTTGTTTTGTATATATTTTTCATATATGTGACAACATTTTTCTATACACATTTAACAATTTTCAAATTCTTGTTAATATTTTTATTCATATTTTTTAAATACGTGATCGACTATTTTAATATTTCTTATGTTATGTTTTTGCATATCTTTTTGTATTCATGAGAAATTGTTTTTTCTACACAGATTTAACATTTTTTAAATGCTTGATGAAATTTTCTCAAGTATTTTATGTAAAGTGTTTTTTAGCATATATAGAATATTTGAAAATATAAAAAGAAAAGGCGAAAAGAGGACAAAACCCTAAAAAAACTGAAAAGTATGAGGCTGCGGCCTGTTGCCTCTCGCGATTCTAGACCAGCCCAGTCCGTGCTCGCTATCAGGTGACTCTGGCACTCTGCTGTATGTCTCACTATAAAGAGGGAATTTCCTACCGGACGCTCATTACGTCAAGTTGTCGCTGATTCCAGTTAAAAAAAAGTTCTCGCTGATTCGTACAGATGCGAGCAACCTAGCGATCGAGATGGGCTGGCCCAAGAACGCACGAGCTAGGGTATCCGGTTTTGGGAAAGGTTATGAACCAGCTTTCACTGTTTTTTTCTGTTTCTTTTTTGCTTTTAGTTTTTTATTTTATTTTTCTGTTATTTTTATTTGTTGTTTCTTTAAATAATTTTTTACTTATTTTTAGTAATTTTTTTTTTGTTTTTTGTTTTTTTCTTCAGATTTCAAAATTTGTTAAATTTTTGAAAAAGGTTCTTATTATTAATTATTGTTCAGAAGTTCAAAAAATGTTTTTCGTTTTCTACAAAACATGTTCACACATTTGAAAAACAATTTGCCTTTCAAAGAATGTCCATGCGTTCAAAAAATATTCCTGTCTTATATGTTTGTACATAAATCAAAAAAATGTTCACAGACTAAAAAATATTCGAAAATTTTGTTCACAAAATAGAAAAAAGTTTGCAATATTTAAAATAAGTGCAAAAATTATTCCTAATTTTGTTTGTGGTTCCAATGTTTGTTCACGGATGCAAAAAATGTCCATTTTCCCAAAATGTTCATGTTCTCATTAAATTGTTCAGTCTTTTTCAAAATTTCTTCACAAATACAAAAAATTTGCTGTTTTTAAATTTGTTCACACTCTCATAAATTGTTCACATCTTTTAAAAGCTTGTTCATGTTTGTAAAAAAGCTCCAAAATTTAATAAATGTTCCTATTTTCTAAGTTTTTCACAAATTCATACATTCTTTCCACTTTGAAATTTTGGTTACAAATACAGAAATTGGTCGCATTTTTTTGAAACTTCTTCGTAGTTTTTTTTTCATAATTTTAAAAGAAGTATTCTGATTTTTCCTTAAATGTTTGAAAAAATAAAAATATTCTGAACAACCTAGTTAGTTCTAAATAGTTAGCATTGCATATTCATCACTAGTGTTTACAAGCTACATTGGCTAGGTGCCTGTCTTTACTAGTGGTGCATCGCGAGTTCAAAACCAAACTAATGCGCCACTTTTTTGGCTTCTCTGGCCGGCCCATGCGAAGATTCCCCTGTGTGAAGCCCCTCTAGTCTACCATAGAATGCGGCAGATAGGAGGTCCTATAAATGAGACACAAGCGCGCCCGAGGAATAGTGGGGAAGGCTGGCCTACAGCCGGACCTAAATGGACTTGTACTTGTGCATCCCATAGAGGTACACATCTTTCTACATCTAGCAAAAGTGAATCCTTTCCTAAGAAACATTATGAATCCTGCTACTTTATGTATAATAAATTTAATAATAAAAATAATAAAAAATAGTCTTATTTTTTTGCATTTTTAAAAAATATCCATGAAAGTCAAATATTTTGAATATGTTGATGTATTTATTCAACTATATTCATATAGTTTTGGGAATTAGAAAAAGAAAGATAATATCAGAGCAAACACGGGTAAAGTTGACTCCCCTCAACCATACAAACACAAGCCATGGCTAGCCGAATTCACGGGTGCCCTCCAAGCAATCAACTTTCCGGGGGAGTTTGTTTCATAATATTTTTTCTTTATTTTGGTTACAGGACCAAGCATCCTAATTATCAGCCTCTTTCGTGCAATGACAAATGAATAAACACACATCATGAGAATAACCTGCTTAGCATGAAAGATATTGACCATCCCCCGTCGCTTCATGAGCGGTACAGGCACACAAACAGATGTTTATTTGAATGATTAGGGGTGACACATGCAAATTTACTTGGAACGACAGAGTAATACCGCATATAGATAGATATGGTGAACTCATCTGAAATAACTTTGGGTTTAGGGATTTTGAATGCACAAGCAGTATTCGCTCTTAGTACAGGCGAAGGCTAGCAAATAGATTGAGAAATGACTAATTAGAGAGCGACAATGGTCATAATCATGCATTGCGAATAATTAATATTGAATACGAGCATGAGTAGGATTTAAACACCCTGAACATAAATATCACGAAGGCTGCGTTGGTTTTGATTCAACTACATGTGCGATGCGTGCAGGAGCTTGCATTCATCATATACTACTACTGTACTAGTATATGATATGTTCGGCTGGTTTATTCTTCTTCTGGAGCCAGAAGGAGTTAATTAAGCTGGCCGCCGGAAGGTGTCGCATCATCATCATCATCATCATCATCTTCAATACCCTCCCTTGGTCTTGTAGGAGGTGTCGGGCTTCCAGCCCTCGGGGATGACATTCTCGGCGACGGTCTTGGTGCCGCCCTCGGTGGTGTAGCAGATGGTGAAGGGGCCGATGAGCTTGTCAGGGTGTCGATCCTCCACACGGATCCCCACGACTCCTTGAGCTCGATCCACTTATCCTTGTCTTTAAGTGGTTGTGCCTGGTAGCGACATCGGCAAGCGGAGCAACAAAGGAGGAGTATATAGTCTTATCTTTCAAGGTGAAAATCCAAGGTATGACCTTAAGTGGCTGTGCCTGGCAACGACCTTGTTGAAAGCATTATTTTAAGAGCGCGGACTTTGTTCAGGGTGAAAACCTGAGATCTATGATCGGGCGGCCGATAGCACTTGTGCACTTCTTTTTTCTTGGAAGCATCACTTTTGGCGAATTTGGACTCCGGATGCTGCCTTCCCGATGGTTTGTTTTGCAGCTACATGGTTTTGATCACCGTAGCGGAATCTTTCGTTTCTTCTTCTTCTTCTTCTTCTTCTTTTTTTGTTGTAGGGTTGTGTGCATCCATAATGTCTGTAGAATATTTTATTGTTGTAGAGCCTGGATGTAATCGGGATCTTTGCAGTATTAATTAATATATTCCCATTGGCGAAAAAGGAGACCATCCAGCGACCTAATTAAGTGGTCTCCAAGTGAGCTATAGTGCTACCCTGTTGTTTAGGTGTGGCAATTCAGTTTTTGAGAAGAGAAGAAGAAAAATAACGGGCTAGCTCGAGCCCGTTGTGACCATCTTTCATGGGATTTTTTAAAGAAAAGAAAACATAATTAATGTGTGCATATCAATTTCTGTTAATAAGACATGTTTACAATCATGAGCAAGTTTAGATACATCAAACAAGAAATTATTAGTTGTCCACGCTCTTTCCCTATAGTAAATGAATGAATAAGTATACTCATGCTCTCATCGCATCATATGTGTATGATATATGTGCGGCTGGTTTATTCTTCTTTTGGAGCCAAAAGGAGTTAGTTAATTAATTAAGCACGCTGACGGAAGGTGTGGATCGCATCATCATCATCATCATCTTCAGTACCCGCCCTTGGCCTCGTAGGAGGTGTCAGCCTTCCAGCCCTTGGGGATGACGTCTTCGACGACGGTCTTGGTGCCGCCCTCGGTGGTGTAGCGGACGGAGAAGGGGCCGATGAGCTTGTGGGGGGTGTCTATCCTCCACACGGCTCCCCACGACTCGTTGAGCTCGGTCCACTTGTCCTCGCCCTTCTGCTTGATGTCTACGCCCACCACGTCGCCGTCGCCTTGGAGGAACTTGATCACCAGGGCCAGGTAGTTTTCGTTGGAGGATTTCTCCACGTGGAAGTTGACCTTGGTGCCCGGCGGGTACTTGCACTTGACGCGCCGGAACTTGATCTCCACCTCGCCGGCGTCGCGCAGCTTCTGCTCCTCGCCCTTCTTGGCCATGGAGCCGAAGGCGTGGCCGGAGAGGTCGAAGTGGTAGGGGGCGATGGGCTCCTCGTTCTTGTCGGTGATGGTGACCATGGTGGGCTCGCCGGAGCAGGCCTCGGGCTTGGTGCACTTGAGCTCAAAGCAGGAGCCGCAGCCGCGGCCGTCCTTGAAGATGGGGATGTTGCCGCAGGAGGTCATGCCGTGGAAGGGGGCCTTGTCCACCTCCTTGTACCCGCAGGCGCCGCCGTTGTCCTTGGGCCCGGCGCCCGTCGGCTTGCCGTACCACGTAGTCTTGGCGTCCAGCCACTTGTTGCCGTAGCTCGCAGGCGACGCCGTGATGTTGGGGCCAGGGGGAACCTTGGGGATGCCGTGCGCGCCGCACACCACCGCGGCCACCACCGCCGCAACCAGCAGCACCGACGAGGAAGAAGAAGCCATCTTCTCTTCTCTTGAACTGTTCCTTGTTGCCGCTGTGCCTCTTCTTGTTTGCTGCCCTGCTTTTATAGGGCAGACCAGAAGAGGGGGCAGCAAACGGGGGGAGGATGATCCGGCGATGTCGGTGGTGAGCTTGTCCGTGCATGTATCTGCGGCTCGCCGTCATCGTCGGAGGTGCATCCTCTTCCTGACCGAAGCCACCTATGTTTAGAATGTCTCAACTCTAAACATTTGTGCATGCATGGTGAAGGTGCAAGTTATCAAAAGGACATGAAAATGTCAGCAAAATCACAAGCGCGAGAGGCTTGAGCGAAGCATTTGTCCTGTCACGAGTGTTGTCATACACCAACGTTTGGACATGAAAATGTAGTAATAATAATAATACTATGGCGGCCGTCACGTTGCTCATTCCGTTGTTGCAACAGAAGATAGTTGAACTAGATCACAGCCGTTAGACAGGTGTTGTAGCGATGCATGATTTTCCTGTATTTCAACGTCAGTAACACACACACACACACACACACATTTTTGGTACCATCGGGAGGAAGCAACCAAGCAGACATTGCATAAATACCAACCAACGGAATTTCTTTCACAGCAGTGACGACATCATCATTTCTTACAGTTGCAGACTCTGTTCTGTCCAGGAAAATTGCGACGACGGAAAAAACAGAGTCGACCCAGAATGAACAAACGCTATCCAAGAAATAACACGACCGGACCGGAAAATCCTGCCAATCCAACTTTGTATGCAAAAGTTAGACACAACACTTTGCGGATGGCTGCTGAGTGAAAAAGTGACGCAAGGGACCAGACACCCACCTAGGTGGTGTCTCATGCGTCGCATGAGCTATTTGCCCTTTGCCGGCCGAATGAAGCTTGCCAGCGAAAAGCTTGTCGGCCGCGTGAAAAGCTTGTCGGCCGAGTGAAAAGCTTGCCGGCATGAAAATTTTGCCCGTGTGGAAAGCTTGTCGGCGTAAAAAGCTTGTCTGCCAAGTGAAAAGCTTGCCGGCGTGGAAGGCTTTCCGGCGCAAAAGCTCGCCGGCCGAGTGAATAGCTTGTCGGCGTGAAAAATTAGCGCGAGTGCAAAGCTTGTCGGCGTTGAAAGCTTGTCTGCCAAGTGAAAAGCTTGCCGGCGCGGAAATCTTGCCGGCATGTAATGCTTTCCAGCGCAAAAGCTTGCCGGCCGAGCGAAAAGCTTGCCGGCGTGGAAATCTTGCCGGACAAGCGGAAATTGTCAATGTCAATCCAACCAGAAGCTAAAGATGGTCTGAAAAGATTTTCTAGATGTCCACGGATGAAAAAGTCTTCTACATGAAAGTTGTGCGTATCGTCGAAAAGGTGAACTTTACTTTTGGAGTCATCATCATATGAGATGGTATACGGCATTGAAGGTTGCTGCAAGACTTGCACAACCAAGAAAACTGCATGAGTGACTTTGAATGAAAGATGGCCCACTAGGGTATTGAAGATTGCCTTTTTTGAAAAAGTGATCAATAGGAGAGTTGTTTGTCTCATTAAAACGGTTAAATTTTCTTTTTGGCGCATCTTTATTTGACATCGTTTGTGGCCCGTGAGACCAAAAAACCAAACTGTTGTCTCAAACTTGTCTAAATCCGAGTTCGGTTAATTTTGGAAAGATTTGGACGTGATTTGGAGTCCTTTTCTTGTATGGGAAGTCCAGCCGCCTCTTATATATGTTGGGGTGACAACTGATTGGAAGAACACACAATCAAACAAATCAATCTACTACTTTTTCGTGTTCATATACTTTTTAACCCTCTCCCTTGTATCTTCTTCTCGTTCTTCATCATTCTTCAAGATTGGAGGCAGCGAATCCACGAGGTCCTAGGGGCGGCTAGGCCGACCTAGGGAAGCCCATAGCCGCTGCGTGCCCTGATGGGGTCCCTCCCGGGTGTCTAGGGTTTTGGTTCTACGAAAGCACCCGCCGAATTTCTTGTGTACCATGCTTCCAGCCGGTCTCCTCTGATGTGAGCTGCAGTGCGTCACCCCCGGCTTCGAGGGTACACGGTGACATGTTCGTGTGCGAACACCTTCACCTTACCTGTGAAACCTGGCCGCCTCTCCCTACCCTTATCCGTCAATCAAAGCAGCCGAGTGGAAGGGGCCTTTACGGGCTCGCGTGGTGAGGCTCCTGCTTTTAATGAGGGAATGACCACTTCAATAGATGTGTGCCTCCTTTCCGAGGTTTGCGATTAGATTCACGTCTGCGATGCCTGAGGAGCGTCTTCTCTGGATTCCAAGGAGGGTCACGTAGACGAGGACCGTATTTGTGATGTTTTGTAAATGCTCATGGTTTAGTTGTAATTTTTTAAGCAAGAGTATCGATTTCACAGGGAACACACGAAGTGTCTTTCTCTCTTATAGAGGGATACTGCTATGTGCCCACAAGATGAACGAGGTCCAAAGCAAAAGCGGCTGCGAAGGTTGAAATATTGTGAGTGCTTGCTGACTAAAATTAAAAGTGCAACAATAAAGTAAAATGAACAAGAGAGCAATGGAAACGTTGAAATCAACAATAGGGAACATTTACAGGGACCTGGATTCACCACTAGTATGTGCCTAATGTAATTATGTGAATGCATAATTCTAGGTGCAGATCACGAAACCACCTCGCTTGTCTCTATCAGTGGACATAGCCTGCTAGAACATACATGCATACATCATAGCTACGTTAAAACACGCCATCACCGTTCCTCCCTACATTCAGGTTACTACAACCATGACTAAGGGTTTTCACGTGGATGTGGACAATGGGTTGTCTCTACTATTCCCCTATCAATTGGTCTGGGGAGGATGGGAAGTATTAACTATCACCTTTGTACTTGCACAACCCACCATCACAATGACAATAATATCCTTCATGTCTGTAAGGCAATTTTCTGAGTGGTCGACTTCACAGAAGATTGAGGACAACATAAACATACAAAAGAGGATTTGTATCCTATCAGCATTCAACACCTAAATATACTAGGGTTCCTCCATGTCCCCGAGAATTAGGGGTTTAACATACATAGAGACAACAAACATCATGAAATAATCATGGCAATCATGGATTATCAATCAACGGAATACACGTAGGAATCCACCACGAGTTTTGGTAATATAAAGAGATGAATAGAGGGGTGGTTATGGTGATGATGATGGAGTCTCCATAATCGGGATGATGGCGTGGTGGAGCCCTTCTATTGATCATCGGCCCCTTTGGATTCCTTCCGAAGGCTACGGTTCTTGGTTTGGGCACATGTTTCTCTGTAGCTCACCTCGGTGACCCGAAGACACTGGGATAAACTAGTGCCAGGGGGTACCGGCGCCGCATGGTACGAGCACTAGTACGAGCGGGCACACTCATACCAGGTGCTGTCTTCGCCTCTGGAAGCACGTTTGCGGCCGCTTCTTCTCCCACTTGGTAGCCGCTTCATTAGTTAAGCTAATGGACATTTTGTAAAATAGCCTACATGTTGTTGTCAGCTAGAGAGAGTGATTTCCAGAAGGAGAACATCACACATGTCATAGTGAGTGTGAGGGCATGGAGAGGTGCCATAACTCAATTCTGGTCTGGTCGCCGCCACTAGAGGTTGTGGCTCAGCTTGGGAGATGACATTGCTGGTGTGGTGCATGTGCGTTGGCGAAAACGTCTTACCCCATCTAGGGTGACGTGTTGCATGTTAAATAGGCAGGGTGCGAGCCTGGCATACGCGTAGAGGAAGAAATACAAGAGATAAGAGATAAGAGATAAGCTAGGAAAAACGTTAGAGAATATATCATATGCATGCGCCCTAGCTACCTCAATATCTCTATAACAGAATAATCTCACAACCTTCGGTATGTCACGTATAACATGTGTTTAACACCCTCCCTTAATCACAACTTGGTCAAGTTGAGATTATGTTTGAAGTCCTCAAAGCTTCGTACATGCAATGCCTTTGTGAATCCATCTGCAACTTGATCTCTTGAGTGCACAAACCGAATGTCAAGTTGCTTCCGAGCAACTCTTTCTCTAACAAAATGAAAATCAATTTCTATATGCTTTGTTCTAGCATGAAAGACTGGATTTGCAGAGAGATAAGTAGCACCAAGGTTGTAACACCATAGACATGGAGCTCGTGTGGTTTTCACACCAAGTTCTTTCAACATAGACTGAACCCATATTATCTCGCTGTAGCATTTGCTAATGCTTTGTATTCTGCCACTATGCTTGATCTGGAGATAGTGGCTTGTTTTCGTGCACACCATGATATCAAGTTAGGCCCAAAGAATACAACAAACCCACCAGTTCATCGCCTGTCATCCAAGCATCCTGCCCAATCTGAATCAGAAAATGCACTGACAAGTGTAGAGGATGACTTGCTGAAATTTAGACCAATGCTCAAAGTATGTTTGACATATCTAACTATGCATTTTGCAGCAGTTAAGTGAACAGTAGTGGGTGCATGAAGGAACTGACAAACTTTGTTAACTGCAAAGGAAATGGCAGGTCTAGTAAGAGTAAGATAATGTAATGCTCCCACTAAACTTCTGTATCTTGTGATGTCCTCTTGATTCAAGAGTGTTCCTTCTGTGAGAGATAGCTTTTCTGAACTGGATAGTGGAGTAGGTGAAGGTTTACAATATTTCAAACAAGCCTTCTTTACCAGATCAGTTGCATACTTTTCTTGAGAGTGATGGAGTCCATCTTTGTTTCTTTTTACCTCAATCCCAAGAAAGAAATGCAAGTCTCCAAGATCCTTGAAGGCAAAATCTGCACCCGAGTCCTTTAAGAGCCCTGTGATTGCTTCATCAGATGAGCTTGTCACAATAATGTCATCAACATATATGAGGACAAATATGCATGTGTTGAACTTGTTTTAAATAAATAATGAGGTGTCAGACTTAGAAGCGACAAAACTAAGTGCCTACATCTTGTGACAGAGACGAGAATACCATGCCCTTGGAGCTTGCTTTAATCCATATAGTGCTTTATCAAGTTTGCACACATAAGA